CCCTTCCCCTTGCTCTTGCACCCTCCGTTATCGTCCTTGTCTTACTGACTCCTCCCTTTCCAACTCCCAAGGCCCTTCGCCCCTCCCCTTCCTCCTGCATCCTCCCCTTCCCTCTACCTGGATGGCAGCGCTAGCCGCCTCCTGCTCCAGCTGCATCTGCAGCAGGTGGGAGGAGAGCGCGCCGGCGTCTTGCTGCATCTCCCGCAGCTCCTGGAGGAGAACGAGGGCCTGAGTCTCGTGCCGTTTCGTCGTCATTTGCTCCTGCTGGGATGTGAGAGGAGGAGGAGCAGGAGGAGGAGGAGGAGGAGCGAGAGGAGGAGGAGGAGGAGGAGGAGGAGGAGGAGGAGGAGGAGGAGGAGCGAGAGGAGGAGGAGGAGGAGGAGGAGGAGGAGGAGGGTTTCGAGAGCTGGAGGCCAGGGGAGGGAATGTAAGAATGAGACCTTGAGGTGCATGTCCCGTTCCGTACTGATCATCAACCTGAAATCATCACCATCACCATCACCATCACCATCTCATTCATTTTCTCCTTCTCCTTCTCCTTCTCCTTCAACTACAGCAGCAGCAGCAGCAGCAGCAGCAGCAGCAGCAGCAGCAGCAACAACTCACTCTGACTCCTCCTCGCAAGCAGCAATCTCGTCCATCATCCACCTGATCACCAGGAAACATCATCATCCGCACAATCTTCATATTCCTCCCCTACTCCCCCTCCCCCCGCCTCCTCCCGGCGCTCACCTTACGCTCCTCCTCATCTCGAGGACCTCCAGCTCAGCACTGATGCGACTCTTCTCCTTCTCCTCCATCCCCGAGCTGAAATTTTCTCCATCACTTCATCTCTTCTCGCCCTCATCCTCTCTCACATCATAGTTGACATCTGCTGCACCTCTCTTCTCCTCTCCTCCACTTCCGCCTTCAAGTCCTGCCAAGCATGTCACCTCTCCCCTGAACTCGCCCCCCCCCACTCCCCCTTTCCCAGCCATCCTGCCGCTCTTACCGCAAGGAGCTTCTCGTCCTCTGACTGCCTCCTTCTCAGGATCTTCACCTCCTCACCCTCCTCCTCCTCCGTCCTCCTAATCCCTTCGCGCAGCTCCGCCATCTCCTCCTGCATCTCTTGCAGCACGAGCATCAGCTTGCCAATCCCCGCGTCTGCTCCCCGTCTGCTGCTCTCCTGCTATCAAAAAATCAGCAACCTCCCTCCTCGTCCTCCTCGTCCTCCTCCTCGTCCTCCTCCTCCTCGTCCTCGTCCTCGTCCTCGTCCTCGTCCTCGTCCTCGTCCTCGTCCTCGTCCTCGTCCTCGTCCTCGTCCTCCTCCCCCTCCCCCTCCTCCTCCTGCCCTTACCTGCTCTCGCAACAGGCTGAGCTCGCTCATCATCTTCTCTCGTTCCTTCTCCATCGTCATCAACTTTTCTTGATCCTCCTGCCCCATGCGACATCAGACAACCAGCCCCCTCCCCTCCCCCTCCTCTTCCCCTCCTCTCCCCTCTCCTTGTCTCGTCTCGTCTCTCCTGCCCCTGCTCCTTCCCTCCCCTTCTCGCTTCCCTCCTTTCCCCACTTCCTCCTGCTGTCAATATCCACCTGTCGATATTTCTCCTGCTCCTCGTATTTCTCGTTGGCGGCGGCAAGACGGACTTCGAAGGAGTAGACCACTTCATCAGCATGCTTGCTGAACTCTGCGTGCTCCTCCTCCTTCTCCTGCAGCTCCCTGCTCTTCTGTTGGAAAGATTTCAGAAGAAGTGGAGGCCTGGATGGAGGTAGGAGGGAGGGAGGTAGGAGAGGGAAGTTCGAGGGGAGGGAGGAGGGTTGTAAGCATTTTGCCTTCATCAGATCTTCGGACATTTTCGCAGCTGAAAAAGACGAGGAGCATCAGAAAGGCTTTCTCCTCCTCCTCCTCCTCCCCCTCCCCCTCCCCCCTCCTCCCCACCCACCTGTCTCCTTCATGCCCTCCACCTCTCTGGTCAACCGTTCCTTCTCCTCCAGCAACAGTCTGATCCACCAAGTCACATCCTCGTCTCTTCCGCTCCTCCCTCCTCGTTCACCTCCTCCTCGCCACCTCCTCGTTGAGCTGCAGACGGAGATCTTTGTTTTCCTCCAGAGCCTCCTACGTCATTTTCATTGTCACTGTCATCTCAATCAACACTCCCATCGTCATCATCATTGCAACATTATCGTCATCTTCGTCATCGTCATCTCCATCATCATCATCCTCTCCGTCTCCTTCTCTTTCACCATCACAATCACCTTCATGACGTCGTCCGCATTTCCGGAAGAGAACTCGTGCTCACTTATAACCACCTGCAGAAATTCTTCAGAATTCCCAAAGTAGTCTGAATACCACTCATTATCGTCATGATTATCTTCATGTTCGTCATCATAATTGTCTTCATGATCATCATCATCATCCCCTCCATCATCATCCCCTCCATCATCATCATCGTCATCATCTCTATCATCAGCATCTCCATCATTATCATCATCGTCGTCGTCATCATCTCTATCATCAGCATCTCCATCATTATCATCATCATCGTCATCATCTCTATCATCAGCATCTCCATCATCATCATCATCGTCATCATCTCTATCATCAGCATCTCCATCATTATCATCATCGTCGTCGTCATCATCATCTCGACCGCCCTCGTTATCGTCATGATATTGATGCCTCCATTACCTGTAAGTGTTCGATTGTTTCTCGCTGATCCTCAACTTGATTCATCAGCTGCTGCATCTTCTCCTGCAACAATGTTGCTCACTTCTCTCTTCCTCGTCCTCGTCTTACCGCCCCCCCTCCCCCAATGTCTCCCTCCATTTGCTCCTCCTCCTACCTCGGCCGCAGCTTTCCCACTGAGAGTTGTCTTGAGCATCGCACTGAGCTGATCTGAGTCCTCTTGAGCCTGAGGTTTCCAAGTAAGAGAGGTGGGGAGAGGAGCGGGAGTAGGAGCGGGAGCGGGAGGAGCAGGAGCAGGAGCAGGAGGAGCGGGAGTGGGAGCGAGAGGAGGAGGAGGAGCGGGAGCGGGAGCGGGAGCGGGAGCGGGAGCAGGAGGAGGAGGTGCGGGAGGAGGAGCGGGAGGAGGAGGAGGAGCGGGAGGAGGAGCGGGAGGAGGAGGAGGAGCGGGAGGAGGGATGCTAGACCTGTTTGAGCTGCAACTGGATCTCCGAGACCCCGGATTCCTCCAGCTGCTCCTCGATCTCCTCCAGCTGCAGGGATTTTTCAGCTCAGGCCTCTGCTCGCAGACATTCCCACCTGGGAGGAGAGCTCGGCGATCCTGATGGTCTTCCTGACCAGCTCAGGGTTGACAACCAGCTGGTGGAGGTAAAAAGTTAGAAGAAGAGAGGAGGGGAGGGAAGAGGAGAGGAGGGGAGAGGAGAGGAGAGGAGAAGGGTGGAGAACAGAGATGAGGAGGGGAGAGGGGTGGAGAGGAGAGGAGGGGAGAGGAGGGGAGGGGAGGGGAGAAGTCAGCATGCTCGTCTACCTGCTTTCTCAGCTCCTCGATCTCCAGTCGCAGGGTCGCCTCCAGCTCAGGCCACTGGATCTCCTGCTCTGCTATCAGACCTCCTCCCTCTCCTCCCTCCCCTCCCTCCCTCTGCCCAT